ACACACCCATACCTCACATAACACACTCATACGTCACATAACATATCGATACGTCACATAACACACCAATACGTCTCATAACACACCTATACCACACATAAGACACCCATATGTCACATAACACATCCATACGTCACATAACAAATCCATACATCACATAAAGGATCCATACTTCACATAACACATCCATGCTTCACATAACACATCCATACGTCACATAACACACCCACACGTCACATAACACACCCATACGTCACATATCACACACATACGTCACATAACACACACCTACACCACAGAACACACCCATACCACACATAACACACCCATACCTCACATAACACACACATACGTCACATAACACATCCATACGTTACCTAACACATCCATACGTCACATAACACACCCATACCTCACATAACACATCCATAGGTCACATAACACACCCATACGTCACATAACACACCCATACGTCACATAACACACCCATACGTCACATAACACACCCATACGTCACATAATACACCCATACCTCACATAACACACCCATAGGTCACATAACACACCCATAGGGCACATAACAAACCCATAGCTCACATAACACACCCATTGGTCACACAACACACATACGTCACATAACACATCCATAGGTCACATAACACACCCATAGGTTACATAGCGCACCCACAGGTCACATAACACACCCATAGGTCACATAATACACCCATAAGTCACATAACACATCCATACGTCACATAACACACCCATAGGTCACATAACACACCCATAGGTTACATAGCACACCCACAGGTCACATAACACACCCATAGGTTACATAGCACACCCACAGGTCACATAACACACCCATAGGTCACATAACACACTAATAAATCACATAACACACCCATAGGTCACATAGCACACCCAAAGATCACATAACACACGCATAGGGCACATAACACACCCATAGGGCACATAACACACCCATAGGACAAATAACACACCCATAGGTTACATAACACAGCCATAGTTCACTTAACACACCCATAGGGCACATAACACACCCATAAGTCAAATAACACACCCATAGGAGAAATAATGCACCCATAGGGCATATAACACACCCGTAGGGCACATAACGAACCCATAGCTAACATAACACACCCATTGGTCACATAACACACACATACATCACATAACACATCCATAGTTCACATAACGCACCCATGGGGCACATAACACACCCATAGGTCACATAACACACCCATAGGTTACATAGCACACCCACAGGTCACATAACACACCCATAGGTCACATAACACACCCATAGGTTACATAACACACCCATAGGTCACATAACACACCCATAGGTCACATAACACACCCAGAGGTCACATAACACACCCATAAGTCGCATAACAAATCCATACATCACATAACGCATCCATACTTCACATAACACACCCATACCTCACATAACACACTCATACGTCACATAACATATTGGTACGTCACATAACACACCAATACGTCTCATAACACACCTATACCACACATAAGACACCCATATGTCACATAACACATCCATACGTTACATAACAAATCCATACATCACATAACGGATCCATACTTCACATAACACATCCATGCTTCACATAACACATCCATACGTCACATAACACACCCACACGTCACATAACACACCCATACGTCACATAGCACACCCATACGTCACATAACACACACCTACACCACAGAACACACCCATACCACACATAACACACCCATACCTCACATAACACACACATACGTCACATAACACATCCATACGTTACCTAACACATCCATACGTCACATAACACTCACATACATCACATAACACACTAATACCACACATAACACTCCTGTACTTCACATAACACTCCCATACCTCACATAACACAACTATACGTCACATAACACCCATACGTCACATAACACACCCATACGTCACATAACACACCCATGTGTCACATAACACACCCATACGTCACATAACACATCCATACGTCACTTAACAAATACATACGTCACATAACGCATCCATACTTCACATAACACACCCATGCTTCACATAACACATCCATACGTCACATAACACACCCACACGTCACATAACACACCCATACGTCACATAACACACCCATACGTCACATAACACACCTATACGTCACATAACACACACCTACATCACAGAACACACCCATTCCACATATAACACAACCATATCTCATTTAACACACACATACCATACCCATATCTCACTTAACACACACATACGTCACATAACACATCCATACGTCACATAACACTCACATACATCACATAACACACTAATACCACACATAACACACCTATATCTCACATAACACACCCATACCTCACATAACACACCCATACGTCACATAACACACCCATACGTCACATAACACACCGATGTGTCACATAACACACTCATACCCCACATAACACATTCATACGTCACATAACACAACCAACCACACATAACACACCCATACCACACGTAACACATCAATACGTCACATAACACACCTATACCACACATAACACACCTATACCTCACATAACACACACATACGTCACATAACACACTCATTCGTCACATAACACACTCGTACAGCACCCATACGTCACATAACACACCCATACGTCACATAACACATCCCTACAACACATAACACACCCATACGTCACATAACACACCCATACGTCACATAATACACCTATACCTCACATAACACACCCGTATGTCACATAACACACACATACGTCACATAACACACCCATACCTAACATAACACACCCATACGTCACATAACACATCCATACGTCACATAACACACCCATACCTCACATAACACATCCATAGGTCACATAACACACCCATACGTCACATAACACACCCATACGTCACATAACACACCCATACGTCACATAATACACCCATACCTCACATAACACACCCATAGGTCACATAACACACCCATGTGTCACATAACACATCCATACCACACATAACACACCCATACGTCACATAACACACTCATACAACACCCATACGTCACATAACACACCCATATGTCACATAACACATCCATACCTCGCATAACACACCCATGCGTCACATAACACACCCATACGTCACATAACACATCCATAGCACACATAACACACCCATACGTCACATAACACACTCATACAACACCCATACGTTACATAACACAACCATACGTCACATAACACATCCATACCACACATAACACACCAATACGTCACATAACACATCCATACCTCACATAACACACCCGTACGTCACATAACACACCACTACATCGCATAACACATCCATACGTCACATAACACACCCATACGTCACATAACGCACCCCATATCTTACATAACACATCCATACGTCACATAACACACCCATACGTCCCTTAACACGCCCATACGTCACTTAACACACCCATACGTCACTTAACACGCCCATACCTCACATAACACACCAATACGTCACGTAACACACTAATACGTCACATAATACACCCATACGTCACTTAACACGCCCATACGTCACTTAACACGCCCATACGTCACATAACACACCCATACGTCACATAACACACCCATACCTCACATAACACACCAATACGTCACGTAACACACTAATACGTCACATAACACACCCATACGTCATATAACGCATCCATACGTCACATAACACACCCATACGTCACATAACATTCCATGACACCCATTAATATGGGTGATGCTAGCCCGGCTGCCCTCTGAGGTCAGTGGCCACGTCATGTGGACCACGACCTTGTGGACCACGACTCCAGGACGGGTCGACCCCCTTGCCTCTGTCCCTTCCGTTCGCTTGTATAAATCTTGGCAGTTGTCTTTCCTGTACACGTGAGTCATTGTTTACATCGGTAAAGGTTAGATTAATTTATCATGCAGGAGATGCGGGTGGTATATGGCGGCGTCTGGCAGCCCCTGGCGGGTATATAACGCGGAGAGGTCGGGCCGGAGAAGAGTTGCGTTAGGCAGTGTGGTGAGGAGCGGTTGTCAGGCTGGGCGCTCCCGGCCACCTGAGTCTCACACCGGGTCGGGCGCGGGGGACCTGTGCTGACCTCTCTTACTGCTGGCACCAGCCTGTCGCCAGCCGTACAGCACAGACAGGCACCCGTCACAGCCTGTCGCCAGCCGTACAGCACAGACAGGCACCCGTCACAGCCTGTCGCCAGCCGTACAGCACAGACAGGCACCCGTCACAGCCTGTCGCCAGCCGTACAGCACAGACAGGCACCCGTCACAGCCTGTCGCCAGCCGTACTGCACAGACAGTCACCCGTCACAGCCTGTCGCCAGTCGTACAGCACAGACAGGCACCCGTCACAGCCTGTCGCCAGCCGTACTGCACAGACAGTCAGGAACAAGAGTCAGGGAGACGTCAGCAAAAAGTAGTCATCAAATAAGTAGTCAGCAAAAATTAGTCATCAAAAAAGTAGTCAGCAAAAAGTAGTCATCAAAAGTAATCAAAAAAGTAGTCATCAAAAAAGTAGTCATCAAAAAGTAATCATCAAAAAGTAGTCATAAAAAAAGTAGTCATCAAAAAAGTAGTCAGCAAAAAAGTAGTCATCAAAAAAGTAGTCAGCACAAAAGTAGTCAACAAAAAGTAATCATCAAAAAGTAGTCATCAAAAATTAGTCACCAAAAACTAGTCAGCAAAAAGTAGTCATCAAAAAAGTAGTCATCAAAAAAGTAGTCATCAAAAAAGTAGTCATAAAAAAGTAGTCAGCAAAAAGTAGTCAGTAAAAAGTAATCATCAAAAAGTAGTCATCAAAGATTAGTCATCAAAAAGCAGTGAGCAAAAAGTGTCATCAAAAAGTAGTCATCAAAAGTAGTCATCAAAAAGTAGTCATCAAAAAATAGTCAGCAAAAACTATTCAGCAAAAAGTAGTCAGCAAAATGAAGTCAGCAAAAAGAAGTTAACAAAAAGAAGTCAGCAAACGGAGCAAGTCAAAAAGTCAAGAAAGGAAGTCAGCGTGAACATTTAGCAAAAGGAATCAGCTGGAAGTGTTTTAAGGAAGACTGTCAGTACTGCATCTGAGGTAAGACCAGAAGCCATTAGGGATGTGTATAGTGTGTCTAGGATGTGTATAGTGTGTCTAGGGTGTGTATAGTGAGTCCAGGATGTGTATAGTATGTCTAGGTTGTGTATAGTGTGTCTAGGGTGTGTATAGTGTGTCGAGGATGTGTATAGTGTGTCTAGGGTGTGTATAGTGTGTCTAGGATGTGTATAGTGTGTCTTGGGTGTGTATAGTGTGTCTAGGATGTGTATAGTGTGTCTAGGATGTTTATAGTGTGTCTAGGATGTGCATAGTGAGTCCAGGATGTGTATAGTGTGCCGAGGATGTGTATAGTGTGTCTTGGGTGTGTATAGTGTGTCTAGGATGTGTATAGTGTGTCTAGGATGTTTATAGTGTGTCTAGGATGTGTATAGTGAGTCCAGGATGTGTATAGTGTGTCTAGGATGTGTATAGTGAGCCTAGGGTGTCTATAGTGTGTCTAGGATGTGTATAGTGAGTCCAGGATGTGTATAGTGTGTCTAGGATGTGTATAGTGTGTCTTGGGTGTATATAGTGTGTCTAGGATGTGTATAGTGTGTCTAGGATGTTTATAGTGTGTCTATGACGTGTATAGTGAGTCCAGGATGTGTATAGTGTGTCTAGGATGTGTATAGTGTGTCTAGGGTGTGTATAGTGTGTCTAGGATGTGTATAGTGAGTCCAGGATGTGTATAGTGTGTCTAGGATGTGTATAGTGTGTCTTGGGTGTGTATAGTGTGTCTAGGATGTGTATAGTGTGTCTAGGATGTTTATAGTGTGTCTAGGATGTGTATAATGAGTCCAGGATGTGTATAGTGTGTCTAGGATGTGTATAGTGTGTCTAGGTGTGTATAGTGTGTCTAGGATGTGTATAGTGAGTCCAGGATGTGTATAGTGTGTCTAGGATGTGTATAGTGTGTCTTGGGTGTGTATAGTGTGTCTAGGATGTGTATAGTGTGTCTAGGATGTTTATAGTGTGTCTAGGATGTGTATAGTGAGTCCAGGATGTGTATAGTGTGTCTAGGATGTGTATAGTGTGTCTAGAGTGTGTATAGTGTGTCTAGGATGTGTATAGTGTGTCCAGGATGTGTATAGTGTGTCTAGGATGTGAATAGTGTGTCTAGGATGTGTATAGTGAGTCCAGGATGTGTATAGTGTGTCTAGGATGTGTATAGTGTGTCTTGGGTGTGTATAGTGTGTCTAGGATGTGTATAGTGAGTCCAGGATGTTTATAGTGTGTCTAGGATGTGTATAGTGAGTCCAGGATGTGTATAGTGTGTCTAGAATGTGTATAGTGTGTCTAGGGTGTGTATAGTGTGTCTAGGATGTGTCTAGGGTGTGTATAGTGTGTCTAGGATGTGTATAGTGAGTCCAGAATGTGTATAGTATGTCTAGGGTGTGTATAATGTTTGGAGGGTGTGTATAGTGTGTCTAGAATGTGTATAGTGTGTCTAGGGTGTGTATAGTGGGTCTAGGATGTGTATAGTGAGTCCAGAATGTGTATAATGTGTCTAGGATGTGTATAGTGTGTCTAGGGTGTTTATAGTGTGTCTAGGATGTGTATAGTGAGTCCAGGATGTGTATAGTGTGTCTAGGGTGTGTGTAGTGTGTGTAGTGTGTCTAGGGTGTGTATAGTGTTTCTAGGGTGTGTGTAGTGTGTCTAGGGTGTGTATAGTGTGTCTAGGGTGTGTATAGTGTGTCTAGGGTGTGTATGGTGTGCTTAGGGTGTGTATAGTGTGCCTAGGGTGTGTATAGTGTGTCTAGGATGTCTGTAATGTGTCTAGGATGTGTATAGTGTGTCTAGGGTGTGTGTAGTGTGTCTAGAGTGTGTATAGTGTGTCTAGGGTGTGTATAGTGTGTCTAGGGTGTGCCTAGGGTGTGTATAGTGTGCCTAGGGTGTGTATAGTGTGTCTAGGATGTGTGTAGTGTGTCTAGGATGTGTATAGTGTGTCTAGAATGTGTGTAGTGTGTCTAGGATGTGTATAGTGTGTCTAGGATGTGTATAGTGTGTCTAGGGTGTGTATAGTGTGTCTAGGATGTGTATAGTGTGTCTAGGGTGTGCATAGTGTGTCTAGGATGTGTATAGTGTGTCTAGGATGTGTATAGTGTGTCTAGGGTGTGTATAGTGTGTCTAGGGTGTGTATAGTGTGTCTAGGGTGTGTATAGTGTGTCTAGGATGTGTATAGTGTGTCTAGGATGTGTATAGTGTGTCTAGGATGTGTATAGTGTGTCTAGGATGTGTATAGTGTGTCTAGGATATGTATAGTGTGCCTAGGGTGTGTATAGTGTGCCTAGGGTGTGTATTGTGTGCTTAGGGTGTGTATAGTGTGCCTAGGGTGTGTATAGTGTATCTAGGATGTGTATAGTGTGCCTAGGATGTGTATAGTGTGGCTAGGGTGTGTATAGTGTGTCTAGGGTGTGTATAGTGTGCCTAGGATGTGTATAGTGTGTCTAGGGTGTGTGTAGTGTTTCTAGTGTGTGTGTAATGTGTCTAGGGTGTGTGTATAGTGTGTCTACGATGTGTATAGTGTGTCTAGGGTGTGTATAGTGTGTCTAGGTTGTGTATAGTGTGTCTAGGATGTGTATAGTGTGCCTAGGGTGTGTATAGTGTGCCTAGGGTGTGTATAGTGTGCCTAGGGTGTGTATAGTGTGCCTAGGGTGTGTATAGTGTGTCTAGGGTGTGTTTATTGTGTCTAGGATGTGTATAGTGTGTCTAGGGTGTGTATGGTGTGTCTAGGATGTGTATAGTGTGTCTATGATGTGTATAGTGTGTCTAGGGTGTGTATAGTGTGTCTAGGGTTTGTGTGTAGTGTGTCTAGGGTGTGTATAGTGTGTCTAGGGTGTGTATAGTGTGTCTAGGGTGTGTATAGTGTGTCTAGGGTGTGTGTGTAGTGTGTCTAGGGTGTGTATAGTGTGTCTAGGGTGTGTGTAGTGTGTCTAGGATGTGTATAGTGTGTCTAGGATGTGTATAGTGTGCCTAGGATGTGTATAGTGTGTCTAGGATGTGTATAGTGTGTCTAGGATGTGTATAGTGTGTCTAGGATGTGTATAGTGTGTCTAGGATGTGTATAGTGTGTCTAGGATGTGTATAGTGTGTCTAGGATGTGTATAGTGTGCCTAGGATGTGTATAGTGTGTCTAGGATGTGTATAGTGTGTCTAGGGTGTGTATAGCGTGTCTAGGATGTGTATAGTGTGTCTAGGATGTGTATAGTGTGTCTAGGGTGTGTATAGTGTGTCTAGGGTGTGTAGTGTGTCTAGGGTGTGTATAGTGTGTCTAGGGTGTGTATAGTGTGTCTAGGGTGTGTGTAGTGTGTCTAGGGTGTGTATAGTGTGTCTAGGGTGTGTATAGTGTGTCTAGGGTGTCTAGGGTGTGTATAGTGTTTCTAGTGTGTGTGTAATGTGTCTAGGGTGTGTGTATAGTGTGTCTACGATGTGTATAGTGTGTCTAGGGTGTGTATAGTGTGTCTAGGTTGTGTATAGTGTGTCTACGGTGTGTATAGTGTGCCTAGGCTGTGTATAGTGTTTCTAGTGTGTGTGTAATGTGTCTAGAGTGTGTGTATAGTGTGTCTAGGGTGTGTGTAGTGTGTCTAGGGTGTGTATAGTGTGTCTAGGGTGTGTATAGTGTGTCTAGGATGTGTATAGTGTGCCTAGGGTGTGTATAGTGTTTCTAGTGTGTGTGTAATGTGTCTAGAGTGTGTGTATAGTGTGTCTAGGGTGTGTGTAGTGTGTCTAGGGTGTGTATAGTGTGTCTAGGGTGTGTATAGTGTGTCTAGGATGTGTATAGTGTGCCTAGGGTGTGTATAGTGTTTCTAGTGTGTGTGTAATGTGTCTAGGGTGTGTGTATAGTGTGTCTAGGGTGTGTGTAGTGTGTCTAGGGTGTGTATAGTGTGTCTAGGGTGTGTATAGTGTGTCTAGTATGTGTATAGTGTGCCTAGGGTGTGTATAGTGTGCCTAGGGTGTGTATAGTGTGTCTAGGATGTGTATAGTGTGTCTAGGGTGTGTATAGTGTGCCTAGGGCGTGTATAGTGTGCCTAGGGTGTGTATAGTGTGTCTAGGGTGTGTATAGTGTGCCTAGGGTGTGTATAGTGTGCCTAGGGTGTGTATAGTGTGTCTAGGGTGTGTATAGTGTGCCTAGGGTGTGTATAGTGTGCCTAGGGTGTGTGTAGTGTGTCTAGGGTGTGTATAGTGTGTCTAGGATGTGTATAGTGTGTCTAGGGTGTGTATAGTGTGTCTAGGATGTGTATAGTGTGTCTAGGATGTATATAGTGTGTCTAGGATGTGTATAGTGTGTCTAGGGTGTGTATAGTGTGCCTAGGGTGTGTATAGTGTGCCTAGGGTGTGTATAGTGTGTCTAGGGTGTGTATAGTGTGTCTAGAATGTGTATAGTGTGTCTAGGATGTGTATAGTGTGTCTAGGGTGTGTATAGTGTGCCTAGGGTGTGTATAGTGTGTCTAGGGTGTGTATAGTGTGTCTAGGATGTGTATAGTGTGTCTAGGATGTGTATAGTGTGTCTAGGGTGTGTATAGTGTGTCCAGGGTGCGTATAGTGTGCCTAGGATGTGTATAGTGTGTCTAGGATGTGTATAGTGAGTCCAGGATGTGTATAGTGTGTCTAGGATGTGTATAGTGAGCCTAGGGTGTCTATAGTGTGTCTAGGATGTGTATAGTGAGTCCAGGATGTGTATAGTGTGTCTAGGATGTGTATAGTGTGTCTTGGGTGTATATAGTGTGTCTAGGATGTGTATAGTGTGTCTAGGATGTTTATAGTGTGTCTATGACGTGTATAGTGAGTCCAGGATGTGTATAGTGTGTCTAGGATGTGTATAGTGTGTCTAGGGTGTGTATAGTGTGTCTAGGATGTGTATAGTGAGTCCAGGATGTGTATAGTGTGTCTAGGATGTGTATAGTGTGTCTTGGGTGTATATAGTGTGTCTAGGATGTGTATAGTGTGTCTAGGATGTTTATAGTGTGTCTAGGATGTGTATAGTGAGTCCAGGATGTGTA